TCTTTCCTGCCTATGCAGGGGGTCAGACTCGATGATCTATTGAGGTCCCTTCTGACCCTAACATCTATGAATCTATGATGAGTTGTATTTAAGTGTATCTATGCAAGAATAGTGGGGGGAAATGGGTTTAGCTCAAATAGGGCTCAACTCATAGGCAGATTAACTCAATGGGCCAGCAGGGCCCGGGTCCAGGGGCCCCTGCCAATCAGGGGCCCCCAGATGCCTGGGTTTCCATGGGAAACTGCGGGTGTCCCTTGCAGGAGAGCAGTATTCCAGCCTGCAATGGGTCCTGCTTGGGTTTGCTGGGAAATGCAGGGGAGGCACCAGCCTCTTCCCAGTGGGGAACCTGGGCCAGGGCTGGGAGTGCTGTGGCTCTGCAGGTGGCCCCCCATGCCTCTTGGGATTGGTGGCTACAGGGGGGCTAAGGCAAATTTTTGGGGTGACTACAGCCCCCCCTCCAAGCCCTCCCTAGCACAGCCCCTCTGTATGTGTATGGCTGTATGTGGCTAGGAACACAGCTGGGCAGCCAACTTCCTGCAGGTAAATTGAATTGGGGGAAGTTGGGCGGAGGAGGGAAGGAGCATGGGGCAGGCAGATTGACACCCCACAGGGAGGGATGGAGTGGGGCAGGGTCTGGGGGCACTGTCCAACCAGGGTGGTACATAGGACCCAGAGCTGGGGCAGGGAGTGGGATGGAGCTACAGGCAGCTCATCCAGGGAAGGAGGGGGGAAGGGGGAGCCCCGAGCCCACAGCCCGCATTCACCCTTGCCTGCTGATCTCTGCTTCAGCTCTGGCAGGGGAGAGGGGGCCAGAGGGCAGGGAGGAGAGGTGGGCAGGTGCTGCCCCTCCCCAGCCTGGCCAGGTCCACCCAGCCTTCTTCACAGGAGGCCCGCCCCACCCTTGGCAGTGGCTGCACCAGGAGGGGAAGGGGCCCCTTCCACTCTGGAGTCTAGCTTCTACAGGGTGGGGGGCAGAGGTGGGCTCTAATTTTGTGTTTGCTCAGGGCCCCAGTAAATCTTAATTCGCCTCTAGCTCAATTTCTGGGATTGCCCAGAGAAGCCAGAACGATAACTCCTTACTTTGGCCCAGTCCTACAAAAATTAGAGAACTGTGCTTAGCTTTGAGTATCTGAATCAATGAGACTATTCAAGTGCTTAAAATAATCAAGTACATAAGTGTTCATAAGGAAAGCATAACATTTTAGTAGTAAGGCATGTTCTAATTTTAAGTGCAGCAACTGCAATCAGATTGCAATGTTCATATCTTCTGCCAAGTTATTTAATTTGAATGTCAAATCCAAGGATATTGTTCTTCCACCCACCTGAGGCCCTTTCACAATATTTCTAAGTTACTCTCCCTAATATTTATGTTCAAAGATTTAAATCCTGCCTACAATTAGCATAATGTTCCTTTAATTGCTGTGAAACACATATGGATCCCAGAGCAGATTTGGCTCTGTGGACTAACTGCCAACAGCAAGTAATACAGGTTCTTCTTGTTTTGAGAGAAACCAAATGGTTGTACCTCCTCTTTATTTGTCAGTCTAGACTCTATGTTAAAAATTAATCCACATACCTGCACTATTAGTAGTTGGTGAAAATGCCTCTTAGATTCTTCTATGTTATCCATTCCCTAAAACAAAACGGAGATTCTAGCTTTTCCTTATAGGTCATGGAATAAATTAATGTTTTCTCAAATACTTAATATTTTTTAATTAATGTATGTTTTAAAATGTGCAGACACCACATTGTCAGTTTATGCATAAAATAACAGAATCACCCAGATTCTGCACCCAAGCCTGTACTCTTTTAAAACAGGGACTGTGAATCAACTCTACCTATGGAAAAACACCAAGCAAATATTACCATTCAAGACACAAACTGACAGAATGTCCGGTGTTGTCCTGATAATACTGAGTAACATTAAAAAAACCCACAAACAGACAAGGAGGTTCCTGTTTGTGAAGATATAAGAGAATTCCCAGTTTAATATTTTTGTTAAATAGTCACAAAGTATCCTGAGAGTGCTGCCAAAAGTTATGATTGACTAACAGTTCCCATTATAGAGGATTCTGATTTCAGTTACTTATAATTTTGGAAAACCTTAACTATTTGGTTTAAATTCCCCTGTAATGCATTGTTGCTTCAAGTTTGTTTTTTGTGGGTGGGGGCAGGGAAGATTTAGTAATTCTAGAGCATGAAATTAAGAAAAAGATACTTTGATTTGTTTGTGCTAATAAATGTGCTTATAACCATTTCATTGATAACCCCAGAGAAGAGACTTTTAAATTCTGCATGACAGTTATTCTGCTGTCTGAAACATTCCTTTTGCTGTTCATTTGAAAATTCACCCAGGTTTATCCAGTGTATAGCCCCCCCAAATTTCACTTTATATACGCACAGTTGTTAGAGTTTGGCAGCCATATTCTATGAAGCTCCCTCCAGCTTAGGGTAAGACTTAGAGAAAAGGATAAAACTTTCATTTTAAAGATTATTTGTACTAATTTAGCATGTACTAAAGTAGATTTGTCTTGACTGGAATTGTATAAAGCATTACTTACATGGAGCTAACAATCCTGATCTAACACCACAACTCAAAGATATTCAGGAACCTAATTTCCGTGGATGGGATAGGAAATATTCAAAGAAGTGATACAAAATCCAGCAGAAAAATTTGTTGGAAAGCGTAAGCAAACTAAGAAAAGGAGGACAAATAGCAAAACAGCACTGTAAGAAAGATGTAAACCAGTCTACTTCTGGGAAAGCAGGAACAGTAAAAGTATTATGTAAATAAGTGAAGAAATCATAAAGATTGGACAAGCAAAGGTTTGGGGGATAAGAGACTAAAAAAACAAAGCATCAAAAAAATAAGGTATGGAAACAATATCCATAAATGTAAAGTTGTATGGAAATAGAATCAGGCCACTGACATACAAAGTAAAAATAGCTGCTGGTGAACTAACAGTGGAAACTAGTAGTCATTCCTCATTTCAGGTAAGAGAACAGTGATATAAAACTACCTGTGTATATAAAGACTCCTGAAATGCTGTAAAATCACTGGAAAGACTCCTGAATTCCTGGAAAATTATGCAATTGTTTCAAGGCAAGGCTTGTGTAAAACAAGGGGGCATGTAATCTTATGATCGTGAACTGCACATAAAGCATGTTAGATAAGATAGAGATTGTGGTATTGGATAATCTAGAGTTAAGCTTCTTATGCATATAACTTGAATTAATGATGATACCATTAGAAAATTAATTATGATACTACCTTAGAAAATCAGGACAAGTGACTTAGAATAAACACCCAAAAATGCAGTGTTTGCATCCAGGAAAAAAAGGACAATAGATGAAATACTGAAGTGGTAGTAGGCATAGAAAAAGTAGATTTTTATGCATACATAAGATACTTGATCAAGACTCAGTTTCATCAAGGATCTGTCTGAGTGACAAGACTACACAGAATTTACTATAATTATACACTGACAGAAACATTCTGTTTGGTATCAAAGTGCAAATGCATCAGATTAATATACTGACAAAATTACTTTGTGGACTGGAAGCAAGTGCATTTAGGGAAACAGACACCACTAAAGGAAATGGAGGCCATGGACACAATCTCTGTCCCAAATGGCCCTGCCACTGCTGCTCCCAAGGGCACAGGCCCTAGTAGTTATGCCTCAGAAGACCATAATAGTTGGGTTATTGCAGAAGACAAACAGATGACAGAATGCCAAAGAAAATCATGCAAACACAGCCATGGTCAGTCTGCCCTAGAGGCTGGCAGACAACTAGATGGTTAGATACTGGGGCACAGGGGACCATGGCCAAGCTGGACTTACTGGATAAACAAGCCTGGAAAGGAATGAAAGGTGACACTACACTCTGTATGTCTGCAAAGATGACCTGAGATGAAAAGCAGCAGCAGTTTACTTGTAAAGCTTCAGTGAACCCTTGGAATCAGAACAGCACTCCTTTTTTCACAATTTAAATGATGCAAATTATTTGACTTAAAATGATGGAACTGCCCTTATTTATGTTCCTACAAAATGTATCTGTTGCTATGAGGTCTAAGTATAAATGTGTAAGTAATGCATGTGGTCTACTCGGCAAAAGAGAATAAAACCTTGATGCACATGAATTTACTAACAATATTTTGCATATCTGTCGCATTTTTCTTCTGAGGATCTTAGAGCAAGCATTTTTTGTGATATCTTTTATTGGACCACCTCTACAGTTGGGAGAGCTGTTGGACAAGCTTTTGGGCATCAAGGGCTGTTCTCCAGCTCTCCCAACTACTGTATACACTTGGTCTAATAAAAAATATCACAAAAAATCCTTGCTTCTCCAGCATTTTCATTCTAATATAATAAAAAACCTTAGTGTGTCTGTCTGTCTGTCTGTCCATAACGCTTTATTCATGCTCTGACTGGTTGTCTCGGCAGCCAATCACAATGCTGACTAAAACAACTGATCAGAGTGCTCTGCACAGACAGACACACACGGCACAGCGTCACCATGCTGGCAGAAACTGAGGGGCCGGAGTAGGGGGGTGAGGCCAGTAGTGCTGGTCTGCCCCCCTGGCCCTGCTCCTTGGAGGCGGCGGGAGCGGGGGGGGCTGGCAGTGCAGCACTGGCCTCGGCTCTCTGCT